CGTAATCGCGTAATGTGATTTGAGTTTGGGTAATGGGAGCTGAAAAATCGCCTCGCCGCTTACTACCTCCGAACTCGTTAAAAGCTTTTCCTCTCCCTCCTCCCCGATGGTGGATCTCCTGAACTTGTCAATTCGCCAACTTCTCCAACATTCGCGAACAGTCGTGCATCGGCTCGGAGCTTCTTGGCTCGGACCTGTTCATATTGCAGAGCAATATTGGAAATTAAACATGGGTTAATACCTGATTTTGGCCAAAACTATGACCATATAATCAACTTTCGCTCGTGATTTCAGAAATTAACATTCTGGCATCGACTATGCAACATATAGACTCAATTGGTCAGACACATGGCTTGACCGTCAATTTGGACGGTCAACAACATTGACCGTTAGTCAACACGTCATGTCATTGCCTCGTCAACCCAAAAATTATTTAAAATATTCAAATTTAAATTATTTTTCTAATTTCTATTATTTATCATTATCAAATTAACCAAAAAATTTAAAAATAAATTTTATTTTTTTATTTTTTGAAAATGATAACATTTTATAAATTAACCAAAAATAATCAAAGTTTTTTAAAGTTTTTAAATTTTATTTTTACGTTAATTGAAAAATGATAAATAATAGAAATTAGAAAAATAATTTGAATTTGAATTTTTTTAATGATTTTTAGGGTGATGAGGCAATGACATGGCGTGTTGACTAACGGTCAACGATGTTGGCTGTCCAAATTGACGGTCAAACCACGTGTCAGACCAATTGACTTTATATGCTGCATAGTTGAGACCATGATGTTAATTTTTGTAACCACAGGCCAAAATTAATTATATGGTCATAATTCAGACCAAAATAAAGTATTAACCCATTAAACATCGACGATCTGAAAGGGGTTTGGGGAGGGTTCACGATGGCAGGATGATGGAAGGGGACTCAGCCACTAAGGAGTGTTGCAGGAAGATGGAAAAGGTGGGAGAGATGGTTACTTTCCTTTCTTTTTACCCTTTTAATTTAATTAAAATTCATGTAAGTTAATGAAAAATCGTAAGTCTATTCAGAACTTATAATGCTGTTGTTATAGTTATTGACGGAATAGACATTTTAGTGAATTTTACAAAAAATGGTTATTGTTGTAAATAGGGTTAATACCTTAGTTTGGCCTGAACTATAAATATATTTTCTACTTTGGCCCGTGGTATTGGAAATTGCTATTCTGGCCTGAACTATGTAGCAAACTTCCTCATTTGGTCTGGAGGCAGGTTTGACCGTTAAATCAGATGGTCAAACTTGTTGACCGTTAGTCAATGCCCACCTCACCTGCCATGTCAGCTTTGAGGACATAAAAAATATATTTTTTTATTTCTGAATTTTGTTTTCTTGTCATTTGCTAAAAATGGGCCCTTTTTCGTTCTTTTAATTAATTTTTTTATTTATTATTTTTATTAATCGAAAGAAAACTAAATTCAGAAATAAAAATAATAATTTTTTATGTCCTCAAAGCTGACGTGGCAGGTGAGGTGGACATTGACTAACGGTCAACAGGGTTGACCGTCTAATTTGACGGTCAAACCCGCCTCCAGGCCAAATGAGGAAGTTTGCTACATAGTTGAGGCCATAATAGCAATTTTCAATACCACGGGCCAAAGTAGAAAGTATGTGTATAGTTCAGGCCAAACTAAGGTATTAACCCTTGTAAATAAGTGTATAGTTATGGCTATCCGAGTGTATTTTGCCAAAATTCTTTGCCAAATATCTATAAGGCGTTGAATGGTCGTTTCATTAATAACGAAACACGGTGTACAGAGTTAACAACATTGAAAGGAAGGACAAAAAAACCAACAGAAATAGGGTTGAAACTAAAGTGGAACAACAAGTCCCCAGGCATGCAAAACCCAAAACCTCGGCCCAAGACACTTGGACAGGCCCAACCCTAGTAACCCTACAACCGTTGGCCCGATCACTGAGGGAATGGCAGCCGAAAGCATCCCCACCACCGAGAACGCACCGCCAACCTCCTTTTTGTCTTCACGTTGACAAACGACCGGGAACACCAGAGGAAGGAGACCAAAGCTTCAAACAGCACCGACTCCACAAGACCGCTAACATGCTGACAAAAGGGAGAGCTGAAACCTCGATGGAGAGAACCAATCTCAAAGAGAGCTCCGAGCTTCACCTGTACAAACAAGTAAAACGAAGCGCAAACCCAGACTTTGGACAGAGTAGAGGCACCCAAATCATCGCCAATCTGAGCCCTTGACTGGATCCAATCTCAACATAGTCGTCCCTGCTCACAAGCCCCCTAAATCTTCATTCAAGACAGCCATGGTCCTAGCATCTCCGAATCATCCCCATTTATGGATGAAACATGTAAAGGTAGATGGAGCATCAGAGGGGAGCAAGCGAACCGAAGAACCCGACTCCCTCAAACACCAGGGAAAATTATCCACACAGATCTGCGATCTGGTGGGGAGCAAAAGCATCTTTATGAGGGAGGTCAGAAGAGCATCATCACAAAGATGGAGGAAGAGCCGAAAGGTCAAGACAAAAAACAGGGGAAGCAACACTAAAGGCGTGAGACTGAAAGGAAAAAGAACCAGGAAAAAAAACAAATAAACAGAGGACAGTAATGAAATGGAATGGAAAGGAAAGCATTGAAAAATAAAAAAGGAACGTAAAAGAGAGGTTAAGAGCTATCGTCGGTCTCAAAGTGGAGGCCGACGGTAGCTCATCACATATCTACTTTTGAAATCAAGTGAGAGGGGAGAGAATAGGAAAGGTAGAGAGAGAGGGAAGAATTCTTTTTAGTAAAATATAAAATAATCATGTTGAGTGAGGTTTTAGTGGCCACGTAGGTTCCTTGGAAACTTGGCAGCCAGTGGCGAATTCAGAAATTATATTAAATGTGTTCAACAATGAAACAAAATTAACAAGGATTATCAAATAGTCTTGATTTCAAATAATCAGTTGACAAACCTACCAAGTTGGCAGCTATTTTCTTTGCTTCGTTCTTTAATTCTTCGAGGTTGCTCACGTCCCGAGCACGCACACCAACATGATCGTATGTTAGGGCAGTTGAGCTCGTAAGTTTGACTTCAAATACATACAAAAAAACTTAAAAACATCTTGAACTTAATTCCCAATTCCTAAGTGCATTTCATGTACAAATATCGTTGAATTTAGTTGAAATGACCCGAAACACACTAATACAATAAACCAAGTATAAAACTGGCAAAACATAGAAATATAACTACATGACCTAGCAAAAGACATTAAAAATATGAAAACATGTATAATTTATTAGTTATCAATATGCTAAGATCATCTCTTCCAACATGTATAAAGGCAGTCATAAGACTAAAAACCTAATAAATCAGTGACCTTTTTACAAAAATCTAATAAGCTAGAATAATAACATAATGATAATATTTTTATTGTAATTTATAGGTTAGGGCACTAGCTGTACCAAATCTTATAATGTCCTATTTGCGTGTTCGGGGCACAACCCATCCTGCTCTACTATGAGTCGGATTTTATTCATCATATCATACATACGACGGAGCGAATCTTAATTGTCCTCGCTATCCTTCCTTAATTAAAAGAATGTAAATAAAGATACATAGACGAATTAAACACATTCAGATTGCTCAAACACCAAGCTAAAGCCAAATGAAAGTCCTAATTGGCGAGAAATTTTACAATGATATATAGTATTGGTGCTATACGTTTTGTCTTTACGGTACAACTTAAAATTGTACATTTACGTTATGGTACAACTTCAGATTGTACGTATACTTTTTGTACAAATTCTTTTATGGTACAACTTGAACTGTACCTTTATGTGATGGTACAACTTCAAGTTGTAAAGTTCTACCATAACATAATAGTACAAATTGATTTATGGTACAACCTAAACTTATACATTTAATGTTATGGTACAACTTTGAGTTGTACATTAAAGCACCAATGCTATATAGCATAGTAGAAGTGCTCCCTAATTGGCAATGACAAGAAATAAAATTTTGGATTTTAAAAAATGGACTAGTAATAGTATACACTTATGAAAAGCAACCTAATTAATTATTTTTACAGGAAACCATCCTAAATTTAGGTGTCATGCATTCATGCAACATAGTTGTTCCCCGCCTTGTGATCATCCCATATCAAAATGGAGAACTGGTGCGTGATCATGAGCCCTAATTATTATTATAATCTTAACAATACTAAAAAAAGGAGGTGGATTATTTAGAATAACAAAACGCGTAAAATATTATATAGATATGTATTATCAAGAAAGGAGAAAGCAAAAAACCAAAACAAAACTCATCAAAATTTCCATGCAAAACGGGACCGAAAACAAAGCTCGCACCACTCCTTAATCTGTCTTCTTCTCTTTTTCAATTTTCATCGTCCTCCGTCCTCCCCTAATCACCATTATCATCCCTTAAACCCTTTAATTAGCTCATAAAACAAACAAAAAATCCCCAGTTTTCCCCCATTCTTCTCTTTCTGCCTTCCCTTCCAAAACCCATCTTAATTAATTAATAATAATTACTTATCCCACTCTTGTCCCTTCCCTTCTCCAAATTCCCCTCTCTATTAAGGGTTCCCCAAGAATCAAAACTTGAAAGAAAGCTTTCAAAAAAAAAAACTTGAAAGAAAGAAAAAATATAGTCTTAAGGAAAACAAAAAAGAGAGTAAAAAAGAAATTTTTTCTCTCTTTTTTTACCACCCATTCTCTCCTCTCTTTCAAACTTTTTTTTGTGTCACCCCACAATAATTACTCTTCGATTTGAGAGAGGAGAGAAGAACCCACAAAAGATCATTTTTTTTTTTTGTTTTTGCAGACGTTTTTTTCCATAAAAATTAAAACAAGAATTTAAAGCTCTGCCCGTAATATATATATTTACATTAATTTGGCGGGTGGTGGTCGTCGACGAGGAGAGGAAGAGAGGCTAGAGAGAAATCGGAGAGGAAACAACAACAACAACAACAACAAAAAAATGATGCGAAACGACATCGTCGAGAGAGGGCTCGATCATCAAGGTGCGGGGACGGGAATGGCGATGATGATGTCAGCCGGCGGCGGAGTGGGACAGAGAAAGGGCGGCAGCGTGGCGGTGCAGCAGGGGTTGAAGAAGGGGCCGTGGACGGCGGCGGAGGACGCGATTCTGATGGAGTACGTGAAGAAGCACGGGGAAGGGAACTGGAACTCGGTGCAGAAGAATTGTGGGCTGCTGCGGTGCGGGAAGAGCTGCCGGCTCCGGTGGGCCAACCACCTGCGGCCCAATCTGAAGAAAGGAGCGTTCACGCCGGAGGAGGAGCGCGTCATCATCGAGCTGCATGCCAAGTACGGCAACAAATGGGCTCGCATGGCCACTCAGGCGAGTCTCTCTTCTATATCTATTATCTAACACATATTCATTTTTGGTGTTCTTCATTTCATCCATCTATATATCATTCAATTAGGTTATGGCGTCCCATCAAAAAAAAAAAAAAAAAAAAAATAGGTTATGGCGAATTCTCGAATTTCATGGGGTAAAAGAGACTTGTAGTTTGATGTTACATTCACATTTTGGGAATATACTTTCAATTATGTTATTTTAAATATTTTAATGGTTTATTGCTAGCTCGGTCTATTTTCTGTCGTCATAAACATTTTAATTTTGCGCTACTGACTACTGGAGAGACCAACAAATTGTATTTAAAGCTATTTAACTTTCATTTGCTCTTTCCGTGAATCATGAATCATTTGAGTTTTCGTCAGATACTTTATACTGCAGCGATATAAAAGTCATATCTGAGTAGATTGAAGTATCTTAACTACTTATTTATTGGTCTTCAACTTCTTACCGACATGTGTTATCTATATATATAATTTTAAAATTCAAGTTAATTTTCAATTGGGGTTTAATTTTTTTTTATAATATATATAATTTTTGAAGGTATCGTCTAAAATTACCTAAAAGCATTTTAAAGTCTCATAAACTCTGGATATTTGCTTATTACTTTGCAATAGCAGTTGCCCGGAAGAACGGACAACGAGATAAAGAACTACTGGAATACGAGAATGAAAAGAAGGCAACGAGCTGGGCTGCCGGTCTACCCTACAGAATTCCAAGACCAAGCGGCAGCGTTTCATCACATCCAACGCCATGAACAGAACAATCTTACCGACCACAACAACAACAAATCGTCGTCTCTCTTCTCCGTATTTCGCAAGGCACCAGATTACACCTCATCATGCTTCTCCCTCTCCGCCGACGGCCTCCCTGATTTCTCGCCGACGCCGGCCGCTGGTTGTTTCAAAGGTCACAGTAGTAATAACACCAACCTCCCTTCCTCCGCCTTCTATGGCAACAACACTACTCCTCATCACCACCAGTACCAATACCTCAACGCCCAAAACGGCGCCGTTTTCGCTCCTCTCTCATTCTACCCTCTCGTTTCCACATTCGCCCCTCCGCCGGTCACCGGAGGAGGAGGAGGAGAGAACATGCCGAGCAACTTCGTGAGTTTCACTTCCTTAATCATGGGAGACTACGACGCCGACCAGCAGCTGGAGTCCTTCAGCTTTGCGTCGGCTTCGGAGCTTCCTTCACTCCAAACCCCGCCGCGCTCGGCGTCGTCGAACGCCACCGGAGGCGGCGGAGGAGGGGTTTGCGTGGTGGCTGAGGGATCTGACAATGGCAACAGCAATAGTGACAATAATACTGCCGCCGGGGTGACAAAAGGAAATGACCAAGATACCCTCACGGTGATGGAGAACAACAACAGCGGGCTGTTGGACGCGCTGCTGATGGAGAGCAAGGTTATATGTCGGAAGAGGAAGGCGGATGAGATGGACATCGGTGCAATTAGCTCCACGGCGGCGGAGGAGGAAGGGAACTTCGATGCTGCCGCCGCTGTTGCTAAACGTAAATGTACAGCGGCATCGTTTTGGGGAGCAAGCAATGGCGAGCAGCAGGCGTCATGTGAAGGCGGCGGGGATAATTTGCTCTTTGCGCACTCTTCAATCGGTAAGCAAACTAACACTTTATTTTCATGTTCGTGTTTTAGTTTTGGGCATTTTAATTACAATTTTTTTTCCAGTTGTATTTTTAATGTTATACTTATAGTACAATTTCAGGTTGTACGTAAACTATTTTACATATTTTTTGTAGTACAATCTGAATTCGTAAATTTTAATTATGGTGTAAATTGAAATATAAAAGTATAAATTTGCTTATGGTATAACCTGAATTTATTATTTTTAACATTATGGTTCTAATTTTAATTTGTACCTCCAAACACTAATAGCGGTAGGGGTGGGCAATAGGCACGGGTTGGGTGGATTTTGTCCTCAAATTGTGACCCACAATCCATCCACATTCTTCTGTGGGCCCGGTTGAGTGGGTGGCAAATGGGTGCGGTTGGGTCGTGGGTTAACCCGCAAAAGCAATTTTTCAACTAGTCATTAAGAAATTTGACTAATATTTATAATAAGTTCATAGCAAATTTGTAAGACTATCAATTTACACTTCTCACTTTGACTCAAGTGAATCCATGTAGTATTTGCATCAAGATTTTAGTACTCTATCAACCAATTATTGTGTAGATTAAACCTACGCATTTTGTGATTTTGATACAATTAATAATCATGTGGGTCATTCAGGTGACCAACAATCCACCCACCCACATAAATGCGGGTGATAGATTTATCAATCCGCAATCCACCCACATCAATCACCCACTACTTACGGGTCGGACTATTTACGGGTGGTTCAAATATTAATAGGTGGATTAACCACCCACGTGTCCACCACTAAATAGCGGTCAATATCTTAAAGCAGAGTAGAATTGCTCTTTGTTGAAATGTTTTACGTCTTTTAACACAAGAAATAACTATTTTGAGCAATTATTATATCCGTTACAGTAATGGAGCCGGCGAAGGAGGAGACGGTGACGGCGACGGCGGAGGAGATGAGTTCAATGGACGATGACTTGCTGAGCCTGCTCACCAACTTCCCGTCTTCCATCCCTCTGCCGGAATGGTATCGTGAACACAGTACCATACAAAATACAACCACCAACGTCAACATGAAGGAAAAAGCCACCGCAGTTGGCACGTGCGGCGGTGGATGTGAAGCCTCGCCTGCTCTTCAGGGGCCATGAAGAGAGAATACATGAGATGAAGCATGCATGGAGTTAACTGGGTTGTGGTTGAGTGAAGTAATTAAGTTGTGATTATGTAGCTGCTGAATGAATGGAGTTTTAGGTTAAGTATAGGGTTTGTAAGTGTCGAATATGTACGTGGGTAATTTAGCAAATGACAAGTGTGTGCTGTATTGTGTTACTGTATGTCAGTGTATAGAAAATTAGGGTTTCTTTCTTTGTGCTTTGTCCGGGAAGGGATTTGGTGGGGAAAGCAGAAATGTATAGCACTAGATTTAAAGATTGCATTAATCAAGTGTGTGCAGAAGAACTAGATACTAGAATTTGTTTCAATTAATACGTATATGGGTGACAATTTGAATTCAATTAACTAATACATCTACTAAAATATAAATCGGCCGACACTAGTCATATTCATGATTAAGCTCAATTGAGACTTCGGATCGTTAACGAATGTTGTGTGGGAGATAGATTAAGTGTGGTAAGTATATAGTATAATATCCATGCATGCGGGCAGGATAGCCGCCGCATGATACTAATGCAATTCTTAGCTTCCTTCTGTATCAATTTTTTTTTTTTAATGGATAGCTTAGCTTAGCAGCTGTTAGTGCAATTCTTAAACCCAGCTCATTTCAAGCCAGAGATTCCTCTCCTCGCCAAAATTGTGTGCCTTCTTTAATGGTCGTAATTTTTTTACCCTCTCTTATTCATAATCCTCAACCTCAAATCCCCCTTAAATTAATGGGAGTTAATATTTTACGCCCTGAAAATTTAAAAATTTCGCCCTAAATTTAAAAAATAGACACCTTTACCCCTACCTCTCCAATTTCTAACCTAAACCCCAAATGAACAATCCCGCCGCCGTCTGACCAGAAGAAGGAAACTGCGGGCAAAGCAGAGCAGCGGGGGTCGTCTGGATGGCTAGACGAAGGATTTGAGTTGCCCCCGTAATCCTAATCCTTTCCATCATTACAAAATTTACTATTAGTTTTTTAGAGTTATGAATTGAATAATTCTAGCTACTTCTCTATATTAAGTTGCAACGTATGACCCGTACTTATATGTAAAACTCCATCATCAAATCCTATCCATTGATTTTGGGAAGCGAAAATGGTTCATATTATAGAAGGGCGATGAGGGAAATTAGAGATCTTAGGACTTTTTTGAGAGGCTACGAATAAAAAGGTATAGATTCTCAGACGACATGAAGGAGAATTTTCAATCTCATACAAAATTTCAATCAATCATATATTGTTTATTTCAACCATAATTAAAAAATAAATTGCATAGAACAAATTCATATTTTTCCCGTAATTATTGTTATTGGGGCTTGCTATTTGCCGCCAACCAAATTGCTATTTGCCGCCAACAAAAAAAAAAAGTATATATGTACATCTTTGGTTAAGGAGTTTCACAATCTACAACATATCCAACTTTCAGAAAACGTATTGAATCAGAAAAAATCGACGCTCGCCAGAAAAGTCGCCGGAAAATCATCGGGAAAGCCTATCCTCGACGTAAACTGCGGACACGCATCCATGAATCATCACTAAGCAGGTGCGTCAATTTTTTGTAGTTTCGAACCATTTTTCCGACAATTTGCAACGAACAGACGGTGGTCCGAAAAATTTCCGGCGGCCGGAACATGGCCGGGCAGAAAATTTCCGGCGGCCGGAACCTGGCCGGGCCGCCGGAAATTTTCGGCCCACCGTCTGTGTTTGGATTTTTCGGAAAAATTCGATTTTAGGAGTTGAGTTTAGCGTTTAAGAGTTGAATTTAGCGTGTAAGAATTGAATTTAGAGTTTAGGAGTTGAATTTAGCGGTTAAGACTTGAAATTAGCGTTTAGGTTCACAGGAATATTGATGAGTTATATTGTAATTGTAGGAAAAATGTCAGAGTGGTTACCGGCTGATCATGATTACACACATGAATTTGAGAATGGGGTCCATTATGCAAGTGTGAAGTAAGCTGAGTTAGCTGCAAAAGCAATCGCTCAGGAGTGTGGGTTCTTTATTGTTAGAGGAGCATGGAAACCGAATACTGCTGGACCACATCCTGTTACTGCCCTCTGTATGTATTGCAACAGAAGCAGTAGGATCGTTAAGTCTTATAAACCAGACCCTACGAAGGAGGCGCGTGGGAATATTAGTTCGAAGGGTACTGGTTGCTAATTTCATATATGTATTAAGGAAGTATGGCAAGAGAATGGTCCAAACACATCGGTCATAGTGGGAGTGACAAGTCGTGTAACCGGAGCTAATAGAGGGTTTCACAACCATGAAGAGGTGTTGTATCCAGAACATCACCGACACAACAAACAGTTTAGTGAGGCTGAAAAAGAGAGGTTAAGATTAATGAGGAAGGCGGGGGTGAGACCAAATCAGCAGAAGACGACACTCAATACCGAAGGGGGTGTGCATCATGATATCAAACAGATGTACAACAGAAATTCCAAGACAAGATTGGATGAGATGGGTGAAATGGATGCGATACAGTTTGCGCTTCACGGAGCTAAACAGCGTGGGTACCATATCTATTTGCAAAAGGACTCTAATAATGTGCTAACTAATCCGTTTTTTGCGCACCCGACGTCCATTCAGATGTTGCATGCATGGCCGTACGTCATCCTCATTGACTCGACCTACAAGACGAGCAGGTATGGCTGGCCATGGGTTGAGACTATTGGGGTTACTCCAGTCAAGAAGAATTTCAACATTGCATGTGCAATTATTAAGCAGGAAACAAAGGAAACATATGAGTGGCTGCTGCGATGTATTAAAAGGTTGCTCGGTGATACAGTTTCGAATGTCATTGTGACAGACAAAGAAGGTGGTATGCTTGCTTCTGTTTCTGTGGTCTTCCCTCTCCCACATACTGTCCACCTACTATGTTTATGGCACGTCAACAACTGTGTGAAGAAAAAGTTTGAGCAATTACTGGGTGGAATTGCAAAAAGAGAGGTAGCACAAGCGGTATGGAAGAAATATTTCGACAAAGCTGCATGGAGTTGGACTCAGGAGGGTTTTCTTCAAAAGATTAATGAGTTTGAGAGGGTCTGGACAGAGAAGAACATAAAAATGGTCGACTACGTGCGAGGTGAGTGGTTGCCTCATCAGACAATGTGGGCAAAGTGCTACACGAACCATGTGTTTCATCTTGGTAACATGAGCTCGAATAGAGTTGAGTCATCTCACTCTTCATTCAAGACTTTCCTTGTGTCTGGTAGAGGAGCGATTGACACTTGTTTTGCGAAGAACCACAACTACATGGAACATCAGTTTCTGGAAGTGGTGAATGAACTGCACAAGTCACTGAATCGCAATCTGAGTAGGGCAATTGAGGCTCTGTGCACGTTTTTTAGGAGGGTCGTTAGTTGTGAGGCAATCAAACTGATGTTAGATGGGGCGGCGGAGTTGAAGGACAGTTGTGCGTGTCATTTTCAGATGACACATGGGCTCAAGTGTGCTTGCCAGGTTGTTCAAGCTAGGAAGAAGGACGTCAATTTTATGCTCAAAAGTTGCATGTATTTTGGCAGACTTTGGATTATAAAAACCCCCCATGTCAACAACAAGTCAGTGATGAAATTGAGCTTCAACGAGAACACTTTAGGCGTCTTACTGTTGAGGTGGAAGAAAGAGGTCCTGAAGCAGTGAGACAAGCAAGAGATGCCCTATTCTATGGGCTTCACCCAGCAGAAGACAATGTGAGGGAACCGGAAGTGAATGAGAATCCGAGAGGACGGCCTCGAACGAGCACCAGTCGCATTCGTTCATATTATGAGCGGTCTCGTTCGAGGAGTATTGGGCCTGATTCGAGTGGAGGCAAGGGCGATCGAGTGGAGGCAGATCTCGATCGAGTGGAGGTAGATCCCGATCAAGTGGAGGTGAATCCGACGAGCATGATACAGGTGAGTAATTGGTTAAATATTATAGTCCATCTAGTAGTAATTGGTTTATGTTTGTAAATTTTGTCCAAGTAATTTTGACCGTTTGGTATATTTTTGTAGATTACTCATCCCAGAGCCCCCAGGGCAATATTCTTACCCTTACATCGATGAGCTTTTTCCAGAGTTTGTTCGACCTTTGCTGGTAGGCGATTTCAACCCTAGTCCAGATGGCCATTGTGGTTTTAGGGCACTTTCTCATTGTATTTATGGGGATGATAGTCACTATCTGCTCATGAGATTGACGATTGTCCAAGAAATCCAACAACATTTCTGGAAGTACGAGAAATTGTATAATGGTGGTCCACTAGCTCACATTGACTGCATCAATTGGCTCGAGGCGGGTTCCGCACCACCGGGGCGATGGATGGATTCTGAGGACTTGTTCGTATTTGCCACCATCTACATCATCGCAGTCACGGTCTTCTCATACCAGGTGTTTGATGTCAATAATGCAAACCGTCCACTACCCAACCGCTACGATAATGCCTATACTATATTGCCTATTGATGCGGACCCAGGTACTTTGCCACCAACCATGTTCTTACCACTACACTATGTGAACAACCACTACATTTGATTGTACTTCAACCAGGATCAGTTCCCCATACCCCCTCTGCATCCAATTTGGCATGGGCTAGCAAATCCTAATGTGGCGGAGTGGGGAGCTATTCTCGAGGTTGGACAAAATTTGTTTGCGAGTCTTGGTGGTCGGCAGCGAGCCAGGCAGAGAGACCCCTGAAGAGCTAGGGGAAGGGGTAGGGGTAGGAGCAATGCATAGTGTTGCAATGCTCTATTTATATTTTGTTGTTTTTCTAGTTGTATTTTAAATGCCCTAGTGTCATTATGAACTTATGATTTCATTATCATCATGAACTTATGGATTTCATTATCTACCCTTGATGTTTTAATCATGAGTGTGCAAACATCCGATCCAAACATAAGTAGTCAAACATCTGATCTAAACATAAACATGGAAACATGCAGTCTAAACATAAACATCCGATCCAAACATACATAAGTAGTCAAACATCCGATCTAAATATAAATATGCAA